TGCCACTTTTGAGCTATTTTAAATAAAATATGAGCAATTTTCAGCCTCTCGTCGCCATCTTGAGAACATAGTTTCGTAAAACTATAAAAAAATCGTATTAAGCAAATAAAGTTGTTCAATCTCCATGTAAACGAGAGTATTAGTGTTAATCTTGCATGTGAACAGTAACTGGAGGGGATAAACGCATCACAACGTTTTTAAAAAATAGGTACGCAGTGCGTACATGTTGCATGCCATCAAAAGCTAGCGTGAAAACAGACCTACGTTCCGCCCGCCCTAAAATTCGCAGGTTGACGGAGCTGTTAGACTTGCTCCAAGTCTCTCTTTCATTGTCATATAGTATCAATCCACTATAGTGTACATTACATGACGTACTACGGAGGGGCGGAGCGAGAAGGAGAGACTTGTCAACTTTGGAAAATCTCGGTTGAAAACTGAACAGAAAATGCAAGACTTGCTTTAATTGTTTCCTTCAATTTCTTTCTGTATTATTTACTATAATGGAACACATGTTATTCACACTGTGCTAGATCAATGCATATAAACACTGACAGAAAACTATTAAAGCAAGTCTTGCATTTTCGGTTCAGTTTTGAACCGAGATTTTCCGAAGTTGACAAGTCTCTCTTTCTCGTTCCGCCTCTCAGTGCTACGTCATGTAATGTACACCATAGTGGATCGATATGACAATGAAAGAGAGACTTGGAGCAAGTCTACGGATCAGTCGACCCGCAAATTTTAGGGTTGGCGAAACGTAGGTCTGTTTTCAGGCTAATCAAAACCATGAAACGTTATGACACAGAATACTATACAGAAGTCAATTTCCATATTCTTTTTGCGTTAGCGCTATTCGTCATGATTGATGATTCGTCACTCAACAAGTACCGTAAACAGAAGCAGTCGCCCCCCTGGTTATGATGTGCTAGCGCTTATAACGTTTGGTACAACTGCCCTGAAACTTAATATATTGATTCAATAAGTTTAATATCAATATATATATTGAAAATTGGCTATTATGTCAAAATAAGAAAATTTTAGATTATCACGCGAAAAGGCAATGTTTTTATGAGCAACTGTTCATCGTTAGATGCAGGCGACGGTAATATAAACAAGGTCAAGGTTTATCGAAAGCGATTGACTGTTAGATTTCCATTATTATTTTATAACTAAATAATGTTATCCTTTACAAATTTAGCTTTATTGTAGCCTTACTGAAAGTATAAAAAAAACATGGAAACTGTGAATTACTACAGAATAATTGTTAAACTACGATTGAAATTATCGACGTAGAATGCTATTTCGTTGTAATTTCAATAGTATTAATGAGAATTTTGTTTGTTATTTTTAATATATTTCATGTTATTTACAAAATTTACTGTATTTTTGAAGTTTTGCACACATTATAATCAATGCGAGCACAATAACTCCACTTCAGTTTGAGTATTATATAAATTTAGTATTTTGATAGCGTGCATGACCTTTCATGCTATATAATATTACGCCTGATAAATAATCAGTGCGAGCACAGCGGCTCCAAAATCACAACAAAATAACACAATATAAAGTAAATTAAAACAGCAAAGCTTTACCTACCTCGATGTATTTTTCTAAGGCGCTCGACTATGTAAATTTTCTGCGAATCTATGCATTTGCTCGACGAAAACCATGGAAGAAAACGTGCACACGATTCAAAATTTATAATTATGCTTATTGTTATTATGCTCGTGCCACGTGATCTGCCGCAAGTTTCACCACCAACGGACACGAATTTTAAGCTATATGATAGTTGCATGCCATATATGGGCATGCAACAAAAATCAGATGAATTCTTGTAAAATTCCCCTTCATTTCCGGTCTGAAAATACTCTCGCAAGGTCAAATTTTAAAATGGCTATAACTCCTATAAAACAGAAAGTTGAAACGTTCTGAAAGAAGCTCGATTAATATTGACCAAAGTCTAGTTCATATGCAAAATATGAGCTAAATCTATTTTCCCTTCCCCAAACCAGTGAGTGGATTTTACTGAGAGGCCCTCTTAAGAAGCCACGATTGCAATTTTAGATCACCCCTGATGAAGACACTAGACTGGAGTGTCGAAACGTTGGGTCTTGATTATAATTCGACTGGGCTTTGTAATCATTTATTTAAACAAGAGTAGCGAGCGAAACATGAATATTTGAAGTGATTAAACAGAAAAAACTATATCACAATTTCATAGCAAAACGCCTAGCTTATAGCAAAAGTGCAAAACCAGGGCGCCTGTAAGTTATATATAGGGCGATGAAACGACAATAGGCGCGCTGATCGACGTGCGATGCAATGAATTGCATGGCAACGAGTTTGATGTTGTTACTATGGGACATTGACTTATGATACGTTAAATTTGGCGGGAAAACTGAGCTGGAAGTTTTGACTGTTTTGTAACCAAGTTTTGATGGAAAAATAGATATTGGGGGTAAAATTCAGAGATAATCTAATTGTCGCGGGTGGCGGCTTCTCTTGCGGGTCGCGGGTTATAGACGCCAGTCCTGGGTTTTTCGCGTGTATGTTGTCGCGGTTATTTTTTCGCGGGACTTTTCTCCGCGGTCTAATTTCCTTGTCAGCATTCTTTTCTGGGGGATGGGGGGGGGGGGCATGTTTGAACGAAACATCGGCTGTTCAACAAGGGACACTTTTGTCCGATTGGTTGATACTTTCACCGTTCTGCGCATGCGCATTTCAGGTGTTTTGTCGCGAAGCGATCGACCAAGAAGCTAATTTTTAGTTGAAAGAGCGACGTTTTTCGTTTAAATCGTTTTAACTAATTTTTGTAAATTATTAATGAAGCAAAATAAAGAAATCGTTTTTATTAACGAATTGTAGTTTTTTTGTCCATGCAGTCACAAGCGTTTTTGCATGTCAAATTTATGTCTGCCGACGGATACGATTTTTGTCTCGCTTTTACCATTGGACTTTAAACAATAGACCAACAAGAAAACGTATCCAAGTAACGTTGTATTCCTTTTTTGGGAACCTGTTTGACTTTTACTTGACTATGCTTCAAAGGTGGGAATATTTGTCCGAATCTCAGTACGTTTTATATAGCTTTTTTCAGAGCTGCTCGACAAATATTTATACAACTTCAGTATGCGGACAAAAGTGCCTTGCATTGTTTGTGGGAAGACCCCTTCCCCGTCTGGTTTTGTTTTTAAAAGTTCTGTTAGTAAGTGTGTTTGTAAACCGTGCTATAATCGTCAAAAACTTTTCGAGAATGTAACTGCTGTCCGTGAGGCGTCAAACTTGGATTCGGAAACAATTGAAAAGCCACAGCCAACAGTTATAAATTTAGAAGCTTTGTTTTAAATGTTTACCTGAACTGGATAAGCCAGCTGTTGTTCCTTATTTTAAGCCGACAACGAAAACCTCCCCCACATCTTGCTGTGACTGGTCAGTGAGACAATATAACCATGTGTACATTTATTTTTATATTTTATTGAAACTTTGCAATTCATTTATTCTCCATTTTGAGATAGAAATATATGAAGTAGAACGTAGAGTGGACCAAATTGGAGGTTGCCATAATAATTTTTATTTTAGCACTTCTTATAAATTCTTAACAACAATAGCAAGCTACGAGAGTTATACCTGAAATTCTGATAGGGCAAAAATGGGAGAGGTGGGGTACATCATGTGGGTCAAGTAGCGAGGGCATTCAAATAGGGCTCCTGGGCGGCATGTCTACTTGTTTTCTTCAGAAAAATATCATTATGGGATACAGTAACTCACCCTCCCCCTCTCTTTGGCCATACTCTGCCATACCATGAACATTGTAAAGAGCCGATTACATGAACCGGCGTAACTCAGGTATACTTTTTAATATTCCAGTACATGCGAACAGTTTAGCTCATTCTAGTCCGCGGTTTCTTGGACGAGCTGAAATTTCACATTTTAATTGTTTCAGCTTAAGCAACTATATAGGCTAGGCTAGCCCCGCCAGCCCTTTCCAGGTAATTTGCCCCTAAATTACTTAACTTAAAACAAAATATTGGTAAATACTCTCTTCTTTGTCTTGTAGTTGTCAAGATAGTTTAAGAGGTTGTTCGACTGCAACATGCATATTACAAACATTTTAAGTCCAAACAAGACTTACCTACATACGTACATACATACATACAGTACAACCCATGTGCTTTTCAAGAGTTTTGCATTAAGGCTGGGGCACCCAACATATTCCAACACTTCTTGACATACATGACGAGTTCAAGGCACAAAAAAACAAAGAAAATATCTCAATATGAAACTATGTGTGCCATTAGTCATGCAGCTTTGTTTTGGATTGTCACAAAAGTATGATTTTTCCAAGTTCACAATGGCATTCTTCTCAAGTTTTCCCACTACACAAACGTAAACGACGGGAAAGATACTCAGAGGGCAGTAGGCACTGCATGATCCTGTATAACCCGAGATCAGGCTCTATTTTACAAATAATAGCCTGAAGCAATCCATAGTCCGATCGCTTTCCACCCACAGCAAAGTTTATATTTAGTATCTAATCAAAATGTCGCAGGAGAAATTTAAATTTCACACAACGACAACAACAATCTAATTATAGTTGTGAGCACTATAAATATATCAACGACAATAGTATAATATAATTAGCACCAACCAATCAAATGACAGATTAAAAAATCTTTTGTCTCATAAACCAATCAGATTTACAACCGAAATACGGTTGTAAAACATGGACTTTTGTTAAGGTTTGTATCAGGCTTATTTATTTATTTATAGGCCTGATCGCAGGTTCGATCTAGTAGATCTATAGATCGGGCAATGACACAATATGCAATTTATAATAAGTTAACCGTTGTCGATCATGCAAATGCCAAAGCAGCTAAAAAGAGGCAACTGGTACTACTAATGATAGATGACTACACAACAATACACACCAACCGAAGACCACTGGCTTGAAAACCAGCAACGCTAATACCATGTGTACAATGATTCAAAGATCTTTCCAAACAATGAAGTCATTTCCAAGAAAAAACCCAGATGAAGTCCATCATAAAAATGGAATTAACATCAATCAACTGATAAATCTAACTGGTTCTAATGAGAGTATGGCCAATCTTGTCAAGTTGAACACATTTGCTGAGCGCACGCCCGAATTAACAGCTGAATTATTCGAACCACTTATGGAGCGTGAACACCTCGAAGCGCATGACTACTGTGCATCAGCTTATGTACGGCACTTGCGGCAGTTTGACAATGTTTATCGGATCGACTTTTTAAAACTCCCTATAAAGAGCATAAAAAAATCAAACCGCTTCAGATGTCGTTTGTAGTTCTAGATTGAAAGAATATTGCTCTCAATTTGTTGATATTTTCGCAGGAGATTATCGTGATCAATTTCACCCAAGGAAAATTATTTTTGACCTTTTAAAGGATTACCTCAAGCAATCAGTCAACAATGCACCCATTTCGCCACTGCTATCAATCATTCCAATGATCGTCCCCTTGCACATTGACTTAAATTCAGAAGAAGACTTGGTATTGAACTTCTTTGCACTGCTGAAGCAAATCTACGAAGCAGTTCAGGTGTTCAAGGGAAAGAAACTAGCAGACCATCCCAAACCATGGCACATTCAATTTATTCTTGACATTGTATATTG